TTTGATGTCATTTTCCCCCCAGAACCAGCCACGTAAACTTATTTCGCATTATGAATGAAATCATTCTCAAATATGGTTCGAACGACATTCGACATAAATGTTTTTGCAGCTGTCTGGAAGTCAGAAAATCTTGTTACAGTTACTTATTCCCATTTGTACGATGGAAACCTTCTACAGTGGCTTAGTTTCACTGAAATGTAGAATCGGCCTCGGTTTCAAAAGAAAAAAAAAGTGAACTAACAAAGCCTCTAGTGTCCAGAAACTGAATATGGGCCTGCAGAATGGAAAATGATCCTTCATATTCTCCTAATTCGGGGTGTAAAAAAGTAAGAGGTCCATGCAGAGCCCAGATGGCAGGAGGTATGAAGGTATGGACGTAACTGCTTCCAGATGTAACGCAAGTAAGGAGTGGACATGTTAGTGTTATTGCATAATTGCCCCCCCCGCCCCTCCGCCCCCACCGAGACTTTTGATCAGAACGAACTCGACTAAATATTTACGTGTATGAAGTAGGGTTTGTGTTGCGGCCAGGCTTTGATTGTGAAGTGTGTGCACAACAGCTTCAGGAAACTACAAAAGATGATGAATTTCAATTTTCATCTCAGGCTGGAAAAAATTAGACAAACACCAGTCCATTTCCCTCCTCTTCTCCTTTCTGTTACTCCTTTTTTTCGGGGCCTTGGATTTCCTGGCATTTCACTTCACTGCCCACTCACAATGACTGCGGCAGAAATCTTGGGCTCGCATTCTAATGTTATTTGCAGGAGGTAAGATGATTTAATGTTCACCGAGGATGCTGCGTCGTGCAGCACACCTTGAGCACCAATCTTTGCATGGCAGCCAACCAGATCGGTGTTTGGTGGTTTCTCTTTTTTTTTTTTGTCCCTCTGGCTAAATTTGATTACATTCTGCAGGACGGTTGCTGCAGACAAAGAGAGCGCCTCTTGTTGGTAGAATAATTCCCGCCTTGTTTCTATCCCATCTGCGGAGAGAGGCCTGGCCGCGGAGCTGAAAGGCATTTGGATGGAAATGGGCCGAAACTAACAGAATGTGACATCATTTCGTTTACACCCCAGCGTACTGGGCTGTTTTGTGTGAAGACGAAAACGCTGCTACATTTGAGACATTCACTTTTAATGATTTTGGTATTTAAATCCTGAAGTCTAGAAAGACAGGAATCAGGAAAAACAACCAGTCATCTGGCAGCAGCAGTGACAGGTTTGTGCCTCCACCCATTTCCCCGAATTCTTGGGTCTCAGAGTGTGGCATGACATTCCAGCGGGCCGTCTAATGTCCTGTGTAACTTACCACCATGACTACACGTAAAAGGTGTACACAAATCTTTTTCTTCAGACTCCTGATCTCGGGTGAAATATTTCATCCAAATGAGAACAAAAACACTGTAATCAGAAAGGGAAGCGATTGTTTGTTCTTCTCACAAACCCGCCTCAATATAATCCGACTGATTAAAACCTCTTTTGTGCAACATCCGGTGTTTGTTTGTTTTGGCAGCCGCAGCGACGTGAACACCTCGGAGTGGGATTTCAAACGAGATAACTCTAAAAATGTATGACTTCTTAATGTTACAAATCAAACCCAGACTCGGCTCGTAGTCAGGAAAACGATGATGGTGTCCAGGTCAGGCCCCTGAGACACAAACGCAATTATTTTTGATTCCCCCACGTCTGAGCCGCGTTGGTGCCAAAAGCACATTAAAGTAGGCAACGGTGATTGAGTTGGTCTTTTAAAAAAAATTGGGTAAATAGCAGCTTTGGGTCTGTGCGTCTGCATGTGTGTGTGTGTGTTTGTGTGTGTGTGTGTGTTCAAAAGCACACAGACACTGAGACTGAGCCAGCTGATTGTGGTTTAGGCTCAGTCTCAGTCTGTGTATTAATGCACCAGGGCTCCTGCCATATGCTTATAGTGGTGTGGATCCAAGACTGACACACACACACACACACACACACACATACAGGACCACTATTCCTGTCAGTACTTTGTTTCTTTGTGGAGCCTAAATGGAAAACGTATTCCCAGCTTTAAACATAGCAGAGTGGAACCCAAAGTGGAGGGCGCGGCCTTCTGGAGGCACAGTGGGTTTTCTTTCGTGTTGCAGTGAGGGGGAAAAAAAATCACTGATATGTGTATATATATTATACATTATACATGTATAATATAATATATATAATATATATATAATATACATATATATGTGTATATATATGTCCTTTTATTCTGTGAAAATATTTGATTTTTTTCAGTGTTCTGAAGCAGTAGCTGTGAAAGTGTCGATAAACATGGATGATGTGATGGTAAAAAGTTGTTGGAGAAGTTTTATTTATCCAACAAAAATGGATGATTTTGGAAATCGCAGCAGTTGTCTTAGAACTTTTTGACTGGTGTCATACACCACAGCACACACTGCAGCCCTGCCCAGTCTGAGGAAGCGGCTCAGAAGAACTGTGTCATAGTGGGATCCGTGCCCCTGCAGTATATTTAGCATATATATTGGCTTCAGAAAGTGCGTGTGAGGTTTGGGGTTTAATCAGGAACCAGGTCGACTCTCCTCGTCTGCTCAGACTTCAAAAGTGAAATTAGTCGTGTGTGTTGAGCGTCGCAGCGAGGCGGCAGCGTGAGGGAATTAAACTGCCACACTGTCTCCTTCAAATGTGGCCGCACAGTAGTCTACATCATCAAACCGCACCAGGACACACCCTCGATCTGCCAGGCTTCAAACCACAACACTCTCGGAGGTAGTTTATGAGGAGCACAGATGTCGGACGACTGAAAATAAACAGAGGCAGCGCTGAAACATAAGCCGTGCCTTAACTGAATCAGTTCTACTCACAATCCTGGTGAGTTTGTCAAAATAGAGTTAGAAGGAAGGCGTACCCTCGCACACCAAGGGATGGGTGTCATTCACAGAGCCTCGACCTCCCTCTCTCTCCCTCTCTCTCTCTCTCTGTGTGTGTTTACACTGAAGCCGTGCCTTTGAACAGCCATGTGGCCGTATCCCATTACATCCAGTGGATCTGCCGAGCGACGGTCTGGAGGGTAAGGAAAGAGGAGCGAGGGATCGGGGTATGATTCTAATCAGTCCAGGCCTTCACTGTAGACACTCTTTAATAACCTCCGAAGATGGATCCGACTTGAGAGGGAATTCAAACCAGATTACTGTGGAAATTCCACAGCACTCGCTTTTCAGCAGGGCCCTTCTTCTGGAGGAATGTGCCCTAGCTTTAACACACACACAGATGCATAAACACAGCGCTCCATCATGCCAAAGACCAGAGCTGGGCCGACCACTGGAGATGTAGAATGGGAGGCGAAGAAAAAAAACAAAACAACCCATAATGGCTGTTCTCCCAGCTGCATGGGGTCGTACACATATAAACATGTCAGGAATGATTGGGTCAAAGGAGGAAGCACACAGGAATGGTGATGAAGAGGGTGGGCCGATGGAGAAGGAATCCAAATAAGTGTCTCAAAGTGGGGCCATAAAGGAAGGAGAAGGCGACCAGCGATCTGTTTTGACAGACAACTGAGGAAAGACAGGGTAATGATGGAAGAAGGATGGAAGAATGCAGTGGGAGAGAGAGTTAGAGCAGGAAAAACGGTGATGTAGAAGGATAAGGTGAGAGACTGGCTGTGATGGATCGTCTGGACCGCGTCATCATTCACCTGGTGGGGAAAAAAAGGAAACCTTTTACAACCAAAACAAAATCACCATGTGTGTGTCCTGGATACCAGGGTAATAAAACAAATAAAAACCATGTAAAATATAAGTTTTCTTCGTAACCCATGAACACCTAGAACGTCAAGACAAACTCTTCAGAACTCTCCTAGAACTCAAAAGTCCTAGATACTTTTGAGTTCTAGGACGAGCTGTTAACGGCCCCAAATAGAAAGTATTCAAAAGATACTTTTGAGTTCTAGGAGTGAGGCTACAGCTGAAATCTGATTGGCCCCCTGAAGTGCCCCTTTCCTGTCACTCATTTGTCCCTTCTGTTACCAACAGATAGATAGCTAGAAAGGTCGATTGATACTTTATTGATTCCAGGCGAAATTCAAGATAATCCTGGGATTAAAAACCAGGGATTGCGTGCAAAGATGTTGGACAAATACTTGGCCCCTCTGTGAATATTGGGGCTCCTTATTTAGAAGATTCCTCGATCTGCCACTGTAATTCTCCAGTACAGGAACAGGGAATGTGACAATGTGATCTTTGGTCTTTGCTGGAGCAGTTTTAGCGTTGGTGCAAACAAAACTCCAGGCGTCAGTGAGCAGTCAACAAAAAACCTTTCTTTCAAGTTTGAGTCGTGCCCAAATTCTAAACTATTATAAATATTATTTTTATTATAATAACTATTTTCAGATTTGTTTGGGTTAGTCATCGTCTAAAAGTTTAGAGATCGCACTTTCCGCATTTGTAAATAAATTTTCAAGACTCATGCGCTCATTCCTGGTTCCTGGTGTTTTTCCGCGGCTAGTCACAAATGTTCTGGAGCGCGTCATGCAAATATAAAGGGCAGAATTTTCAGTTGACTCGACTGTGACTGTCAAAAAGTGCTACAACAAAAGTATTACTGCACGGTGCACACATGGTAGAAAACTGGTTGGCGTCTCATGTCAGTTCTGTTATTCAATTAAAGCTGAAGACCGTGGGTGAAACAGGAACCTGCTCCTACATTTTTTATCCCAGCCTTTATTTGGGTTTCTCTGTCAGGAAGCTAGAGGACGTGGAGGGGAGAGGAGAGAAGGGGGTGGGGGGTGAGGGGAGTAGGAGAACAGAGTGGGGCCCACTGCTCTCTCCACATCCCTGGGTTGAATATGAAAATATATTATAGCATAATGTGTTCAGTATGCAAGCTTGAAGGAAACCATATGAAAAGCTCCCAGACAAAGAGCCCTCTGTGGTCCAAGTGACCCCCCTCCCAACCCTGTCCTTCGTCTGTTTCAGTTGAGTGAGAGATGGAAGGAGGGAGAGCAGAGCAGAGGTAAAAGGGGGAGGAGGTTTTGTGTGTGTGTGAGTCTGAAGGAACTGTAAAAGGGGCAGTACACACACTCCGGCTGCCTGACACAGTCAGACCCACTGCAGCACAGGTGAGCCACTTCACCAGCACACGCCAAACAGGAAGGAGCGCTCAATGCTGGACTTTTACCTGTCGCTGACTGCTGCAGAAGTCCACACCTGTAGCCCTGGATGTTTATCCTCGCAGGGTAAGACCTTGTCTTTGTTATGGGACGGAAAGAACAAGAATTGCAGCCAACGTACCAGGAAAAAAAACAAGGGAAAGTTTAAAAGTGCTTCTCTTTGCAGATGACAAACATCTGTCCGCTGCTATTTTTTCCCCCCCTTTTTGGTAATGAGAGTGCAACCTTGAGGGGGGGGAGGGTGAGGGTGAGGGCTGTGGTCACTGATACCCCAGCCGATTGTCCAGACTGGAGAGCCTGGAGTTTGGCCTGGTTATAAAGTTGAACTGCACTGTGTAACATTAGAGTGTGTGTCTAATTAAAGACCCGGCAGGAGGTCGTATTGACTTACATATATAAGTAATTGTTTCCTGTTAACACAACAGGTGAGTGCTGTTAACCACCTCACTGGGGGGCAATGCTGGTTTTGAGCAAGTTATGAAATAATATATAAATATATATATATATTTTAAATATACAACTTTAGGTGCGTCAACCAGGAGGAAACTTTTGTCAAATATTGCAGTTAATTCCTTGCAGTACTAGTAGAACTTTTTAATCATTTTTTAAATGCACATGCACCGACTTCGTCCTAACAGTTTTCAGATTACGACTCTGATTGTTTTTGAGAGTTCCTCCCTCTTGGCACCGGATCATACACACACCACCTTCAAGTATTTATCTTTGCCTCTTGAAGTTCTCCACCTGTGACTGCGAGCGCGGGGCGAGCCGCACATGAAGTCGACATTTTATCGCTTAAGGTTTTTGTTTTTTGTTTTTTTTCTCTGCATGATTTATGCAGGCAGCCAAAGGAGAGAGTCCCGACAGGGACGGTTGTGACTTTCAATGGTTGGAGTCTGAGCCTCCGCTGCATTTCAGATGTCAGTCATCCGTCGGCACAGGCTGAGGCATGTTGACTATCACAGACTCCTGAGAAATTATCAACCAGGAATTTCAATGTCAGGGGAGTGTGCAAAAATAATTTCACATAACAGCGAAAGGACTTGAATGGCTCTTTTGTCCATTAAAGTGAGTCATGGAGGGATAGACAGAGTGAGAAAAGGGAGAGAGAGGGAGGGAAAGGGAGAGGGAGGGAGAAAAAGAAGCAAAAGACGAGCAGCTTCCAAACTTTCTGTCGAGCGAGGTTAGACATGATTCATGAGAGTCAACTTCTGCCCCTGAGAAAACCTAACTTTATACACAGCACAGCTCAAGGAAATGTTAGTTATACCGAGACTCGTCACTGTGGGTTTTTTGGACTTTTTTGGTAAAAACTTCTTTAACCCAGAGGCATTACTTTAAGGTTTAGAATACAGACATTATTTAAAAAAAAAAAATCCCCTCAGTCATTTTAAGAAGTCATGGGATGTATATGGTGATGAGTTCCTCTCTTGAAAATGTGTTTTCTCTTATCATTGTATCGAATGAGCTTAGTGTCTGGAAGGGGGATAGAATATTTGAAGTATTAAATTGGGTAATAAAACAAACAAAAAAAAGATGTTTTGTTCATTTTTTTAAACAGTGTTCGGTGTCACTTCCCACAGTGGATTAAACCTCCATGATAGAATTGATATCCAAATATCAAATACCAAGATTTCTGTAGACCATTTTTCATGTGCAAACTTCCCAAGTCTAGCTAACAGTTAGCTGGATACTCAACTGAAAAATTAATCCAATGATGACATCAGTTTAGGACAAAGCCAGACAAGTCTTATTCAAAACAGATACAGCCCACAAAGATGACTAAAACCTGACCATAGCTCAGC